TGGCCCGTGTAACTGGGAGTTCAAAGAAGGCTTCATGTTGGTTTGATTTAGTCACCTGACAATGTTATCAAGGACCCAGTTTCTTCCCATTTCTGCTCTTTCTGCAAAGGCAGCTTCACTCTGGCCACAAGATGGTTGCCTACTGGTACTATATGTTTCCTCGTGTGCACTCAGAGATGAGGAGGTACAAAGAGAGAAGGAGAAGAGAGATCGACAGAGATGCTTCCAGAAGCTTCCTCAGAATAGCAAGCAAGTTTCTTTTACAGAAGCCCTCAAGAAATGTCTCTTCCTTTTCCATTAATCTAATTTGGGTCATGTGTATATCCCTGAACCGATAGCCATGGCCAGCAATCAGAATTAAGCTCATTAGCTTTTAGATTGACCTATATATCTCATAACTATACCCAAAGTGGGTTATTTGCCCCTCAAAGCACAAATGCATTGCGTGGGGAAGTGAAAAAAAGTGGGAGTAGTTACCAATAGAAGAGGGAATGAGTTTTATAGAGATTATGAAAATGTCTTCTATATCTTCCAACTTGTGTCTTCAGCCCTAGAAACCAAAGTACCCTGCTATACATAAACAGCTAACAAAATCTCCAAGGCACAGCAGCCCAAAGCCCAGAGCCAAAGATTGTACTGTCTTTTAGGTTGGGAAAGAGAAGCTACTTCCTTTTTTTGCACCTCCAAGAGTAGCAAAAACAAAACACAGACTTAATTTCTCAATTAATTATCCTGTCACACCACCCTTGTACTTAAAGTCTTTTCTGACCTCTTCTGGGGAAGAGAAAGGCTGAAAAACCTTCTTAATTAGAATTGAAAGGACCAGGATAAACAGACTTCAAGAGGGTTTGGGCCATCTAAAATAGTTTGTTGAAAAAAATCTAGAACCTAGATGCTTGGGAGAAAAGAGCTACTGTTTCAAATCATACACACATTTGATTAAAGATGTAAGTTTACTAAAGCTTTATCAAGTAACCTTCAATGCACTCATTCACTTATTTTCCCAATCTTACTTGACACTCTTAAAATGAAAAGGCAGCTGGCGAATCTTGGAAGCAACCAAGATGTCCTTCAATAGGTGACTAGATAAACAAACATCAACAACAATGGAATCAACACAATCGAATATTATTTAGCCCTAAAAAGAAATGAGCTATCAAGCCATAAAAATACACTGAGGAACCATAAATGCATATTGCTAAGTGAAAGAAGCCAGTCTGAAAAAGCCCCATAGTGTATAATTCTAACTATATGACATTCTGGAAAAGGTAAAGTTTTGGAGACATTAAAAAAGATCAGTGGCCGGGTGCGGTGGCTCACGCCTGTAATCCTAGCACTCTGGGAGGCCAAGGCGGGCGGATTGCTCGAGGTCAGGAGTTCGAAACCAGCCTGAGCAAGAGCGAGACCCCATCTCTACTATAAATAGGAAGAAATTAATTGGCCAAGTAATACATACAGAAAAAATTAGCCGGGCATGGTGGCACATGCCTGTAGTCCCAGCTACTCGGGAGGCTGAGGCAGGAGGATTGCTTGAGCCCAGGAGTTTGAGGTTGCTGTGAGCTAGGCTGACGCCATGGCACTCACTCTAGCCAGGGCAACAGAGTGAGACTCTGTCTCAAAAAAAATAAAAAAAGATCAGTGGTTGCAGGGGTTGGAGGAGAGGGAAGGATGAATAGATAGAGCACAGAGGATTCTTAGGGCAGTAAAACTATTCTGCATGATATGGCAATGATGGATACATGTCATTATACATTTGTCAAAACCCACAGAATGTACAACACCAAGCGTGAACCCCGATGTAAACTATGGACTTTGGATGAAAATGATGCCTTAATGTTGGCTCACTGATCATAATCCCCTGGTGGGGCATGTTGATGGTGGGGAAGGATGTGCATATCCTGGGGGAAGGGGGGATATGTTGGAACTCCCTGTGCTTTCCACTCAGTTTTGCTGTGAACCTAAACATTATTCTAAAAATAAAGTCTATTTAAAAAAAAAGCAGGCTGGTATTATGAAAGATTGAGAGCCAGGAGACCTAGATTCCAATCCAGACTATCATTTACAATCTGTATAAGCTTAAATTATTTTTAACCTGTGTCTTAGTTCAAACACCTGTAAAATGAGGATACTATTCATTCATCATATTTATTGCGAAGAGACAACATAGGAACTTTCACAAAGCACACAATAGGTGCTCAAAAAATGTTAGTTGAGAGTCAAGAGAGGAGGAGGAAAGGACAGGGAAAACAGGATCTCATAGCTCAGTCAAGTGATGATGGAAGTATTTTGTAACAAGATACACCAATTAGTGAGATAGATTTTTTTCTCATCTAGTCCACTTCCACTTTAAATTTGGATTATGGCTGTATCATATTATGACTTAATAAAGCATCTATTTTTGCAGGCATCACTCAAAAAACTACCCTTGCCTTTGTTCCCCATTGAGAATTGCTGAGAAGGAATGTGATTTGGGGTAGGTTTTGTTGTTGTTTTTGCTGGTTTTTAATTTATTTAATAAATATTTGTTGTGAACCTAAATAGTGACTGGTACTTATGCTGGACTCAGGATGAAGCAGTAAATCCATCCGATTGGGTCCCAGCCCTCCCAGGGCTTAAGTCTGGTGTGGAAGACAGGCATGAATCAAACTATAACAAAGTGTTTGGAGAGTTACAGTGGGAAACACAGAGAATGAGGAAACCATATAGCAACAGGAACAAATCGACTTCACAGTCAGGGAAGGCCTCCCTTGATGTTTAAGTGATGATTACGCTGAGATGTGAGGCATTAGCTAGAAGGAACAGGGAGTTGGGTTAGAGTGGGTCGGGGTAGAACAGTGGTTTTCATACTTGAGCCTGTGCCAGAATCTCCTAGAGGGCTTGTATATTAGTAAACTATTGCTCCATACCAAATTATGCAAAAATGTAACAGCTAGAAACAACAAACGTTTATTACAACAAACTAAGAATTTCCAGGGATCAGAAGTCCAAGAGCTACTTAGCTGAGTGGTTCTGACACAGGGACTCTCCATAGGGTTGCTTCACAGCATGGCAGATGGCTTCTGACAGAGCAGGAGGAAGAGGCAGAGAGAGGGAGAGAGGGAGGGAGGCAGGGAGTATTAGTATGCTACATTTATTACAATTCATGAACCAATATTGGTACATTATTGTTAAACAACTTTGGCCCCAAATCCATACTATATTCAGAATTCCTTAGTTTTTTACCTAATATCCTTAAAATTATAATTGACATATAATTATGCATATTTATGTACACAGTGATGTTAAGTTACATGCAATGTATAATGGTCAAAGTGTAATTAGCATATCCATCACCTCAAACATTTATCATTAATATCCTTTTTTTTCTGTTCCAGAATCCCATCCAGGATAGCACATTATATTTAGTTGCCTTATCTCCTTAGGCTTTTCTTGGCTGTGACAGTTTCTCAGACTTTCCTTGTTTTTAATGACCTTGATAGTTTTGAGGAGTACCGGTCAGGTATTTTGTAGGACCCCAGTTATTCTATAACCTAATCTCTGAAGTGAGATCTCATCACTTCTGGCCACACTCTACTTTGTTAGAAGCGAGTACTAAGTCTAGCCCACACTCAAGGGGAGGGGAATTAAACTCCACCTCTTGAGGAGAGGAGTAGAAAAGAATTTGTGGCCATATCTTTAATCCCCCCACAGCTTGTTAAAACAGATTGCTGGGGTCCTCCCCCAGAGTATCTGCTTTAGTAGGGCTGCGGTGGGGTCTAAGAGGTGGGGTCTAAGAGTTTGCGTTTCTAACAACTTCCCAGGTGCTGCTGCTTCTGCCCCAGGGATTTCACTTTGAGAGTCTCTGGGCCTGCACAGGACTCTGGTATGTACAAGGAATTGGAAAAAGTTCATCAAGACTTATCAACTCACTGGTTTAGCTTCTGGACTTTGCCAGTTGTCATGAAACTATTAGTAAAAATATATGTATTGCTGTACAAAAGAAGTACAATAGCTTGTGTTTACATTAAATATGATTTATTTCATTTGATTGTCACAAATGCCAGGGAGAGAAAGTCAGGTATCTCCATCTCACATAAAAATTAACTGAGACACAGAAAGACTAGGTTACTTGTCTAAGGTCACACAGCCAGTTAGTGATAGAACCAAGCTTAGGACCTTTTCAATGGTAGTGGTAGTGGTGGGGAGCATGAAACAGAGTCCGTGACCTTACAGTCCTGTCTGACGGTGTTGGTGGTATGTGTGTGGGCGGGGGTGGGGGGGAGACACGAAACCAAGTGTTAGTGATTCTGTCCCGTGGTGGTGGTAGGGGAGGCATGAAACAGAATCAGTGACCTAACAATCTTGTCCAAAAGTGCTGGCCGAGGTGGGAACGAGGGGCGGGGGACCACGCAACAGAACCAGTGACCTAACAATCCTGTCCTAAGGTGTTCTCGGGAGTGGGGGTGGGGCTGGGGGCGGGGGGACCACGAAACAGAGAGTCTGTGACATTACAATCAACCCTGTGCAATGGTGGGGGGAGGTGCCAGGAAACAGAACTAGCCAGCTTACATTTAATTCTGTCCAAAGGTGGTGGTTGTAGTGGAGGACATAAAACAGTCAATATGATTAAGTAGTAAACAGAACATGAAAATTAAAGTGTTAAGATGCAACGAACATCTTGAACTGAAACACTCAGCCGATTCCGGGAAGACCTCCCGGAAGAGGTGCCTCCGGTTCAGAAGGGTCGTCAGCGGCGCGTAGGATCGGATTCTCGGCGTGGGCTCCCAGCCTCGGTCCGGTCCCCTTGCACCTCCGCTACCTTGCCGGGGGGGCGGGACCCAGGCCAGAAGACGCCGCGCTTGCCGGGCCGGGCAGAGTCCCAGGAGCTAGGGAAGGAGGCTCCGGAGTCGCGCCGCACCCACGCAGAAAGCAAGCCAGGCGGCGGCGGCGGCGGCCAATCAGCGGCGGGCGCGTGCGGCCGCGCGCCCCTCGCGCCCCTTGCGCCCCTCGCGCGCCGCGTACGTGCAGCGACCGGCCCCGCCCCTTTCGGGCGGAGCTTCGAGAAGCCGCGGGCAGCCGTCCGCCGGCAGGGAGCTGCTGCTGGTGCTGAGGCGGCTGCACCGGCGGCTCCGAGGCCGAGACAGAGGCGGGGGTGCGCGCCTGGCGAACGTGCCCGATCCGCTCGGCTCGGCTGCGCCATCCCTTGAGTCCGCCTAGGCGTCTTGACGGTTGTGTGCCCTGGCCCGGCGAGGATGCGGCTGTTCCGGTGGCTGCTGAAGCAGCCGGTGCCTAAGCAGATTGAACGCTACTCGCGTTTTTCGCCATCGCCGCTCTCCATCAAACAGTTCCTAGACTTTGGTGAGTGCGGGGCCACGGGCCCCTGGCGCCGGCCGCCGCCATCCGGTGGGTCACCACGGTTCTCAGCCTTGGGGCAAAGTGCGTCGGAACCGCGGGCAGGGCTAGGGGGTGCCCAGGGGTGTCTTGGGGCTCCGATTTCGGGGCGCAGGGGGCAGGGCCTGCCACCTTCACACCCAGCCCGGAGCTTACCCGGAGACACGGAAACCGCGTCTCATCACAGGACACTCATCGCCGGCGTGACTCCCCAAACCTACCATCCTTCGCTTCAAACCTACTTGTCACAAACCTCACTGCCCTTAAAACTTCAGAACGAAATGTGGGTGGCTTTTTAATGTTTTTTATTATTAGATTTTGTTTGGTTGGGTAAGAGCTATTTAGAAACACCTTGAGGTTGAATACATTATGCAATGGCATTTTGTCCCTTTTCTGCTCTAAGGTGTTGCGATGTGTCAAGAGTGGCAGGACTCGAACTGTTGTCATCAGGTTATGTTAAAGCGGTTAGAGACTTAGAGTACAAACGCCTCAGATGCTCTGGACGAGCAGACTTGTGGGCTCCTAGCGTCAGAGAAGGGTCTAATACAATTCTGGCCTTGGTGCCAACACCTTTCATTACTCCTCTCATTTGGGTGTCCCACCCACCTTCCTCCTGTCACATGAGCTGGTGGGTAGCTTCCATGGCTTGAGATGGAACGAAGAAGTCCCCGGCCCCCAACCTGCCTGAGGCCTAGCTGAGATGGGAATAGATTCCACCACCTTCTGTTAATTGGATCATGTTTCCCCAGAAAGTGAGAGCTGGTTGTGAAACACCTGAAAGTAAAACGAAAGTGTGCACCAAGGTATCAGAATGGAGCTCAGGATCGCTGAAGGAAAAAGAAATCCAGCAGCAAAGATATTCTGATCTCTCAAGGGAAAGTAATGGGGTGTCTGTTCATTTAATGACTTCTATGTAGATGTCAAGGGATGGTGTCAGTTGGGCATAAAAACTAAGGTGCAGAGTAGATAAAACATTTGGGGAAGACCTGATATTGGGGAAGACAACACCACATTTTTGTGGTGTCATCCATCCTTCAAAATAGCTAGGATAGAAAGAGAGGAGTAGGTTAAAGTTGAGACCAAATTAAAATTTTAGAAACCAATTTGCCAGAGAATGATAATGAAAGTCAAAGATCAGCGAGATATTGATTTTTGCATCTTAAAACTACACTCCCAAAAGCTTTTCGGTAGTTTTACTTTACCATCTCTGGCCACTTAAGAAGATTTTAGAGGTTTGAGTCAGTTCCTGACTTCAGAGTTTAGAAAATGTTGCTGTTGCCATAAATAGGCATGTTTTTCATCTCTAATTTATGGTTTAGGGAAGATTCTGAAGGTATCAACCATTCATTAGGGTAAACTGAGGTTAATTTACAATAAAAGGAACAAAAGGAATCCAGACACTCCCAATTCCTTCCACCCTCAAAGTTTAAGTGATAGCTCTAATAGTGTGGCCAAAATTTTGATTAATTTATTTCTATAGCTGCTAGTGTCTACCTGCGTTAATAGGTATCTTGGTTGGCAAGGATGTTATTTGAGTAGGAAAACCACAGTGGGGGATAGTGTTATCGTGGAAAACCTGGGGCCAGTGTCTGGAAACAGATGTTCTAATTTTGGCTCTGCCACTAACTCATTTTCCTTGTTAATTAAATGTGTGGATTATATCAGGTGATCTCTAAAGCACAGCTCAAAACTATATGTTGTGATTTCAAAGGAAAAGGGGTGAGTTTTTTTAAAAGCAAATTACCAAATCTTTTGAAAGATATTTTCCATAAAATTCTTCTGACCTGTTTTGGGAGAGGTCTAGGGTACTGAGAGCAGCATAATAATTTAAGTCTTTTCCTTATAAGGCAGCACATAGAAGAGCTATATATAATTGTAGTGGAATTTGCTAGAAATTCTACTACAAGACTAGTTTGTAACACCCAGAGATGAATCAGGTGGCAATCAGCCTATCTTTAATGACAGGACAACTAAAAGAAGAGAGCTGTCACACAAAGGCTATCCCTACTTCTGCTTTTCTCTTAGTTCTTGATAGCAGTTCTATTTTGGCAAGTAATGTGGGAATTTGAGAATTCAGAAAGGGTGTAGAGATGTTTTTAAGGTGAGGAGGGAGAGGAGTTAAGAGGCTTTATGCCCCTGTGTGATTGGAGGAAACTGCAGGAGAGGGCCAACTCAAATAATTAAAGGACCAGGTAGGGAGCAGATAGATGAATGAAGCCAGCCAGGTGGGATGGTGACAAACTCCTGGTATGTGGCTGGCTCCAGAAGGGGCAGCTGATTGGCACCAGTTTGGTATATTTTAAGAGCTCTTTGGTACAAAGAAAATGGATGGAGCACGTTGGCTCACAGGCTGCCAGTTTGTGAACTTTATGCTTTTTTTCCTGGGTACTTTACAAATGGGGCTTAAGTTTTGACTAGAGTAGCTAGACAGGGACTGGAGAAAGGATATGCAGAGAATTTTGTTTACAGTATGTCATAACCTTGTCGGAAGATAAATTATAGTTTCTGTGGCCACTGAATTAGCTTTCTTATGTGAACGTACCCCACATTAGTAAATAAGGAAATTATTTCCTATGTTGAAAAGTGAAGATCAAAACTGGTTGTTACATAAGAAACAGTGATTTTACTTTAAAGCAAGGATTCCCAACCTCAGCACTCTTGCCATTTTAGGCCAGATAATTGTGGTGGGAGCTATCCTGTGCATTTTGGGAGGTTTAACCACATCCCTGGCCTCTATCCACTATATGCCATTAATGCTTCCCCACACCAAGTTGTGACAACCAAACATGTCTCTAGGCATTGCCAAATGTCCCCTGGACTTCTCTTTGGTGAGAACTAGTTTGAAAGCATTTTAGATGAGTGGTTTTCAGGCCAGGGCCTCATACCCTGAATTTCTGTTGTAAATGGTCTTGGGGCAGGGGGTGAAGGGCATTGGTATTTTTAGGAGATCCCTGGACATCCTAAAGTGTAATCGGGGTTAAGAATCATTAATTACATGATTTTCTGTCTGATGTACTGTCCCCCTTTCATCTGTGTATAGTTTTTCTCTATGCCTTTTAAAATAGTAAGTTTCATAAACTCAATCTTTACTTGAAATATGGCCTGCCACACAGTGCCACAGTGTAGCAAGAATAACAAATGTTCTAAATGGATTATTATTTTATAATGGCAATAGGACATTCTAAAAGGGGAGAGTTTTGAAAATGAGATTTTCTTTAGGGCCTGAGCTCACAGTCACATGGTTCCAAATTCAAAAGGTGCCAAAGGACATAGAAAAGCCTCCTTCCTATTTCTGTCCACTAGTCTCCCCCCCCTTTTTTTTTTTTTTGCAGAAGTGGCAGCTTATACCTTTGTCTGTACCTTGTTTTTTTTAAACTTAATACCTTAGAGAGCTTTCTATATCTGTACCTGCAGAACTTCCTTTTTCTTTTTTATGGCTTCTGAGAATTTGATTATATGAGTGTACCACAATTTATTAGCCAACCCCTTATTGATGACTAGTGGGTTGTTTCCAGTGTTTGCTATGACAACCAAGCCTACAGTGAATTATTGTGTGCATTGTGATTTCATGCATGTCTCACTGTCTCATATGTAGGACAGATTCCTAAACATGGGATTGTTACATTAGTGGGTATGTGCATTTGTAATTTTGATGACTGTTGTCAAATTGCTTTCCATAGAGGTTGTCTGTTTACTCCCTCTAGAGTAACTAGAAATTCCTGTGAATTCATATTTTCCTAAACTTTTACCATACTGCTGTCAAACTTTTGATAGGTGAGACAACGGTATCTAGATAGAATTTTTTTCTCCTTGAGTAAACATTTCTTTATTTTAGCGTTTTATTATGAAATTTTTTTTTTTTTTTTTTTTTGAGACAGAGTCTCACTTTGTTGTCCAGGCTAGAGTGAGTGCCGTGGCGTCAGCCTAGCTCACAGCAACCTCAAACTCCTGGGCTTGAGTGATCCTTCTGCCTCAGCCTCCCGAGTAGCTGGGACTACAGGCATGCGCCACCATGCCCGGCTAATTTTTTTTTTATATATATATCAGTTGGCCAATTAATTTCTTTCTATTTATAGTAGAGACGGGGTCTCGCTCTTGCTCAGGCTGGTTTTGAACTCCTGACCTTGAGCAATCCGCCCGCCTCGGCCTCTTTAAAGTAAATTTTATTATGTATAATTAAGGTATACAATACAACATGATGTTATAGGATACCTATAGATAATAAAAAGGTTACTGCAGCAAAGCGAATTAACATATCCATCATCTTACATAGTTACCCATTTTTTTGTGGCAAGACCAGCTAAAATCTACTCATTTAGCATGAATTCCATGTACAATACGATTTTATTACCTGTAGTCCTCATGTTGTGCATTAGATCTCTAGACTTTAAACATATACAAAAGTAGAATAGTGTGATGAACTCCTGGGTTCATTACACAGATATCCATGTGCTATTTGTAGATAATTGTATATATGTGTGGTCTGTTAGATTTTCTTATCGAAGTCATGCTTGTTTGAGAAAGCTAATATTTTTCTTTTTCTATGCTAATACCAATTTATCTTTTGAATGATCTATTCCTTAAAGATTTGGTAGAACCTCCATATGAAAACTTTTAAGCCCAGTGTATTTGGGGGAATATTGCCCTTTGACAACTTTCTCTATTCTGTGGCATTGATCTGCATAGATTTTCTGTCTCTTCTGGAGTCCATTTTGATATATTTTTCTAGAAAATTATCCTAGTCATTGAGGCTTTGAAGTCAATTTGGATAGCTGAGATGGTAGTCTCCTAACAGTTTTAATTTTCCTTGTGGCTGTTTCACTTTTATTTCTTTTGTATTTGTCCCTCTCCCCCTTCTTAATTAGATTAGTCGATGGTTTATTTGGTTGGATTTATTTATTAGTTTTATGACTTGTTTTCTAGTTTATTAATGTATGCTTTTACTTTATTAATTCACTCTAATCTCC